TGTTGTAGTTGGGTATCATTGAGTCAATTTTGACTCATAGTGACCCCATGTGACAGAAGTCAAACTGTCCCATAGGGTTTTCTAGGGTATAATCTTTATGGGAGCAGATCACCAACCTTTTGATTTGGCAGCTGAATATTTAACCATTGCACCACCAGGGCTTCTTTCAAAGATCCCTGTCAGCATTTTATTCCACAACTTTTCCTTTTAGTTTTTGATCATCTTGTCATTTGACCCCATTGTTATCACCACTTTAGACAAACCGTAATGCCAAACAATTGCTACTGATTATTTTTGATAAATGCCCCTGGGAAAAGGTGATTTGCCCTGAGTGAGCTCTGAATTGGGTCAAACAACCCCTCCCCCCCAAAAAAAGACAAACCCACTGCCATTGAGTCAATTCCAACTCATAATGACCCTCCATTGGGTTTCCAAGGCTGTAAATCTTTATGGAAGTAGATTGCCTCATCTTCCTCTTGAGGAACAACTAGTGGGTTAGAACCACCGACTTTCTAGTTAGCAACCAAATGTCTTGCCCACTGTGCCACCAGAGTTCCTTCTAGAAACTGCCAGATAGATCAAATAGTGACAGCTTTCTCAGGATGGGGCTTTGAGGAAGCTCTAAACCTGTTCTGACTTTCACCAGTGGCTACGTAGCTCTTGGATTTCATGACTACCTTGATTGCGAGGATAATGGTTTTCAAGGATACCAGAAGCTGAGGGGAAGCTCTGGGGGTGTAGTGCTTAAGGCATTTGCTGCAAAAACAACAAGGAGGCCACATGTTCTGACCTCCTCTAATCCCACAAGAGGAGGATAGGATTACCAGCAGTAACCCAAGGCCTATTCCTACAAGGCCAGACATGCTGCCTCCCTCCAGCCCTTTCTCCAATCGTTCCCCCAAAGCACCCACCACCTCTCTCCTGGGTTCGATAATTCACTGCAGTGGCCACACAGAGCTCACAGATTATGGGGTTTATTAGGGAAGCACCACAGCTACAATTCAGGTTCAGGAAAAATGCTCAGTCTCTCTCCCAGCCCACCGACCCTCAGCCAAGAGTCTCTCACAGTCTCTTTCCCAGCAGTGCTGGTCCCTCGGTGTCTCACTCAGCAATGCGTGTCTCTTGTGTCTCTTTCCCAGCAACACGTGTCTCAGGAGCCCATGTCTCTTTCAGCAGCAGGTCTTCCTCAACCAGCAGTCAGAGAGCGTTCTGCCTCCAGGAGGCCTCCTTTTGAGCCTGGAAGGGTAGTCAAACTAGCCAATCACAGCATCAGACTCTAAGCACATGAGAGAGAGTGGGAACCTCCCAGAACATTGTATTGTGCCACGCCCAACAGAAATAACCCAGGTGGATAACATTTACAATCAGGAGCTCCTCAGTTGCTCATAGAAAATCCCACCTTGGAGTTTACAAAGACTTATGGGTAGAAAAGCCATACTAAGTAATTTACTACACTGCAACTGCCAACCAGAAGACTGGCGATTCAAACCCACCAGCCACTCCTCAGGAGGAAGACTAGGCAATTTACTTCTGTAGAGATACCACCTTGGAAACCCAAAGAGGGGTCGCTATGAGTCCAATTGACTCGAAGGCATTGAGTTTGGTTTGGTTAGAAGCAGAGGAGAAGGAGATAGGTTTAGATCAAGTTAAAATGCCATAAAGGTTGCTGTTTTTACAAAATATTCAGCCATTTTTCTTGAATTAACACTCCTTGGATTGTTGCAAGCTTTTACTTAATTTCCCAAGTTTTAAAAAAGTTGATTTTGGTTGTTTTTGCCAATGTTGTCATTACTTTTATGGAAGAACAGATTTTCAGAGACCTTACCTCAACATTTGAAAAACTGAAACCTATTGTTGTTTCTTAACCATTCTTATAACCACTTTTTATGTTTTTAGGCCTTTTTTCTTCCCTATTTCTAAAGTTATATTTTGCAGTTTCTGAAATAGTAGGTAACTCATTGCTTTTACTCCTGCTTAAGATCAGCTTTTCTTGATCTTCCAAGTCTTTCTTTGTCCTTTTGGATTTGCACTTTGGGAGCAGGGCAATGATTTCTTTATTATTATATCAATGCATATCTGGAAAGAACAGAGCTCAATGAGTGATTAGAATCTGCCATTTTTAACCTGAATTTGAGGGTAGATCTTTTAGCTGTTAGCTGCTTTATTCTAAGTAAACTAAATTTTCTTTGTATTGTCTAGTTTTTCTTCATGATCAGAGGACTTTTTTAATATTAGAGATATTATGTACCTGGTAATATCTTAAAAATTTAATTGAAGAAGGTGTTTTAAAAGAAGCTCTGTTGGTTAAGTGTTTGGCTTTTAGCCAAAAGGTTGGCAGTTAACCCACTAGCAGCTCTGTAGGAGAAAAGACCCAGAGATCTGTTCCTGTGAAGATTACAGTTTCAGAAACCCTATGGGGCAATTCTGCTCTGTCATATATGTTTGTTTTTGTGAGTTGGAATTACTTGACAGCATGTAACAACAACATAACAACATTGTCTTTAAATTTAGGTGTGGGATAGGAACCTCTTTGATTCAAAATAAGAAGAATTCAGTTCACTGCTGTTAAGTCTATTCACTACATGTATGAATTTGAGAATTTGAGCTGGGAGGACATGGAGCCTGTGGGGAGGGGGGACATGGAGCCTGGGTGGATATGGAGCCTAGTAGGACATGGAGCTGTGGGTGTCATGGAGCTGTGGGGGGACATGGAACTTGCGCGGGGACATGGAGCTAGATGGGGACATGGAGCTGGGGGTGATTCTCAAACTTGAGTGTGCACAAGAATCATCTGGAGGGCTTGTCAACAATATAGGTTACTGGGCTCCATCCCTAGAGTTTCTGATTCAGAAGGTCTGGGATGAGGCTCAAGAATATGCATTTTCGACAAGGTCCCTGGTGATGCTGATACTACTGGTCCAGGGATCAGATTTTGAGAACCACTAGGGGCCGACTCGATGGCAAATAACAACAACAACAACTACACCCTTAGTGTAGAGAAGGTAAAGGTGTTTGCTTTGGGGGCAGGAGGACATTTAGGAAGCAGATGAGAACAAAGAGGGAGAGGACAAGAGGAAGGTAAACAGGGAAGAGAAAGTTGTGCTCATTTGCTTTTATTCTGTTCCCCCAAGCTAATGACTAGTCTTCTATTTCCCTCCTTTTTGTGTAGTGTAAAACCATAACAACTGTTCAGAGAAGAGTCTCCCATGATCAGAGTTGTAATTTTAATCAAGGGAAAAACAGGAATGAAGGGACTATTCATGAAAAACCTTAATCTGAAGCCCTTCAAATGCATTTGTATGTTGAATTTCAAAGTAGGTGGGGAGCATATGCAGGCTGTAGAGAAGTGGTCATGTAACTTTACAAGAAGCACCAGCTGGAGCATTGCTAAGGCAACAAGAGTCTAGGGAATTTTGTTAGAGACTCAGTTATCCTCAGATTTCTATTATCTCCTAGCATCTCCCTTTTTCTTTATTTTTGGTTTTGGTTTTGTTATATATCTGAGAAGGCAGGAACACCATCTAAGCCACATAAACAGAGAGCCAGATTGAGAGGTTGGTTTAGGCCACTGGTGGGAGAAGCCCAGATTTGATGCCATTCCTCTGGGCTATTTTCTTGTAGCGATTTAGAGATTCTGCCATAATTGTCCCATGTTCAGAATATTCTTCTGTAGTTCTCGTTGAAAATATTGAGAAATAAAATTTTAGCTGCCAAAGGTAGTATCCCAAAGGATATAGTTTGGAGGAAGCCCAGAGAAGTGAAAACACAAAACCTTTGCCCTGGGTTAGACTGCCTTTTACAGACACTTGTATTACTTAAAATGCAATGTACCTGGATGGTTCCTAATATTACCTCAAATAGCTCATATCTTGGAAGTAAGAGAGCAAGGTCTTGATAGATGAAATAAGTTGTAGGGGAGTATTTTTGCCACTAACTTGTTGCTTCCTACCTGTTGCCTTTTTTTTTTTTTTTTCCACTTTTATTTGTGTTTTATTTTATGCTTTTATTTCATTTTATGGTCAATTTTATGCTGGATTTATTCCAAAGCCGTAGGTTCATGTTTCTTCAGTTTCTTCTGGGCTATCTTATTGTTTTGTGCAAGTTCCTCTTCTGGTTTAGGAATAATTTGCTCCTTTTCAGTAAGGATCATCTCAGTGGACCAGGGAAAGCTCCTATATGGGTTAATCTGACTATGAGCTCTATGCCCTGTTGCTTTTTTTATCAGTAAAGTGATAATTTGCCTTAAGTTATTTCCCAAGGGTGCTTCCGTCTTTGCTATTCATTGATTTTTCTAGGATCACCTCTTATATCTTTTGGGTAACCAGGGCAAGAAACCAGGTCTCTTGTGACTTCTAAGACATAGCTGGAGCACATAGACCTTCTGTCTTCCCTGAACTATGTGGTCCCAGAGGCTCGATGTTATTTCCTGTTAGCAATTTTCTATGGCTTTGGAATAGAAGGAAGTGCATTGCTATGGCAGTCAGGCAGCCACACTGGGGAAAATATGATGTATTATGTTGTGTAGGAAAAAGTCAGTATTATCTAATCCAGTAATCAGATTTTCAGACAAAGGCATAACCTCAGAACATGCTGTATATGGCTGAGCATAGCATTAGTCTAGCCTCCAAAACCAATTTTTAGAAAATCAGTGTGTATTTGGCCCATCTGTCTCTTTTTGCCTGACATTTTTTTCACTCTTAATATTGGAAGCACTGAGCTTCTGTTATTTGGAAATGGATTAACGGTGATGGTTGAGCAACATGAACGTAATTAATGTCACTGAATTGTACATGTAAAAAAATGTTAAAATGGCTAATGTTTTGTTACATACATATTTACTACAATAAAAAAAGAGAGAAGCATACCTTTAAAAAAATGTTTAAAATCATTAATCCTATATTCTAGGAATTTTATTTCAATAAAAACATATAGAAAAGTCACTGATTGATTCTGTAGCAAGCAGGTGATATTTCTTACACCTCATCTCTTTTTCTCCCTAGTAAAGGGCAATCGGAAGTGTGAGTTGAACTGCCAAGCAATGGGCTACCGCTTCTATGTACGACAAGCAGAGAAGGTCATTGATGGCACTCCTTGTGACCTGAATGGCACAGCCATCTGTGTGTCTGGACAGTGCAAGGTAAGACCCCCTGGACTGGGGTATCTGGAGGGAATTCTTGAGGTGTTTGATCTGTGAATGTTGACTGCATTGTTTGCCAAGAGGTGGGCTGCTACCTCTCTCTAGCCCTCATGGGGACCCTTGAGAGAAGTGGTCTAAGATGGTGGCTTGGTCAGACCTGACTATGGTTTTCATCTTTGGGAGTAACCACATCTCCTTTAGACATTTCAAATATTAACGGATTTATGTTTACACCATGTGTTTCAAAATGGACACAGTGATCTGTCTTAGTTTAATCTGTAGTTCCTTATTTACCTCTTCAGTGGAGATTATGAAAAGGACACTGCTGGTTCACTGAAGAAGTGGTTGTTGTTGTGAGGGTGGCATGTAAAGAAATGGCGTAGTTTATCTTGCCTCCTACCAGATGGGGCAGGCTTCCAAATGAAAGTTTTTTAGGGCCTTTTATAGCAGAAGTTGTACTTTAAACAGGAAGTTTTCAACCTCCTTGGCGGTCTGAAGTCTGTTCCAGGAACTCCCATCCTGCATTCTGCAAGCATTCTGAGCTTGAGAGATCATCGTGGGTTGCTAAACTTTGACAGAAAGCACCATTTTGTTAAAAATAGGCATCTTAGAGGAGACGGCACAAATTCCATAGTCACAGAAAATTTGAGCCTGGACTTCCACCATCCTTTTATCTATAAATGCATTATTGGAGCTAAGACTTTAGCATGTAAATGACTCTTTGGAACCCAGGGTAAGACTCTGTCTTAATTAATATTTAATAGATCGCAAGACTGATTCTTATCAAAGAAGAGCTCTTTGGCTATAACATCTGAAAGCTCCTGTTATACTGTGAATGTAAATTGCCACAGTATTAGGGCTATTGAAGTGTGATTTATAAGTGCCTCCCTTCCCTCCTCTGCTTTTTTTTTTCTCTTAAATGAGGAGGTTTTAAATAGGATAGATAATAATATCACAGCAGGATAGATATTCTTAGAATTTGACCAAAGTTAAGAAAGGAGAAGCTGTCATTTGATATCTGATGTGTGTAATATATTTTAGAAGAGCAAAGCCCTGGAAGAATTAAGGTGCCTCAGAGAAGAGGCAGAGTTTGGGATGGGAAGTGAACTGGGGACCAGAGACCTGTTCTGGCCTTAAGTCTTCCACACCTTTTGGGAAAACCATTAGGTTTCACAGTCCTCCTGTCTGAGCCTCGATGTTCTGAGAAGTAGCCTAGGTACTACAATTGTAACTTTGTGGTCTCTAATGCAAATGGTCTTTGCTTCTAAATGTTACTGAGCCTGAACTGGATGACCTTATAGCAACCTAGCTTTTTCTTTCTCGTCTGGAATCAAGTGTTATGTCGTGAATACAAGTGAATACTGCTGGGAAATGTGGTGTAGTGTAATGGTTAAAAACATGCCCTCTAGAGGCAGATTGCCTAGACCATATGACCCCGAACAAGTTAAGTTCTCCCTGCCTCTGTACGTTATTATTCGAAATGAAGAAGGTGGTCCCCACATCCTGTGTCGTTGTGAAGAATCATGAGCTAATACACTTATGGGCCTTATGATAGGGTCTGGCACTCACCTAAGCATCCTGGCATTTATTATTAATAAATGCTTGTCCAATTGTATTTGAGTTTTCTATGCAGTTTGTTCTGTTTTGGTAGATAATAGATTTGTGAAATTCATCTTATCTTTCGAAGCAATGTTCTCACACTATAGTATAAATCACTGGGGGTGATCTTATAAATTACAGGGACTGATTCAGAAGGTCTGGGGTAGGGCCAACGAGCCCTTGGTGGTGCAGTGATTAAGCACTCAACTGCTAACCAGAAGATCAGCAGTTCAAACCAACCAGCTGCTCCATGAAAGAAAGATCTGCCTTGGTAAAGATTCTTCTCTAGAAAACTCACTGCCATCGAGTTGGTCCCAACTCATAGCAACCCCTCCTTGGGTTTCCAAGGCAGTATCTCTAGCTCTGGTAGCGAAGTGCCTAAGACACTTGACTGCTAACCAGAAGGCTGGCAGTTCAAACCATCAGTCAGTCCTCTGAAGGAAGGTTGGACAATCTACTTCCATAGTGATACTGCCTTGAAAACCCAAGGATGAGTCACTATGAGTCAGGTCCGACTCAACGGCACATAACAACAACAACATCTCTACAGGAGTAAATTGCCCAGTCTTCCTTCCAAGGAGTGGCTGGTGGGTTTGAACCGCCAGCCTTCTGGTTAGCAGTCAAATGACTTAGGCACTACGCCAGCAGTTTTGGAAATCCTATGGGACAGTTCTACGGTGTCCAGTAGGGTTGCTATGAGTCAAGGGGGGGGCGGGATATGGGGCCTGAGAGTCAGCCTTTTTAACCAGCTCCCAGGTGATGCTGCTGCTGCTTGCTTGTGCATCATACTTTGCACAGCAAGGCGTTGGGGCACTTTGATGAAAATATAGCTCACAAAGAACTTGAAATAAAAATATTGAGTGGTGCTTTAACTTGGAAGGAAGATGAAATATGCTCTTTCCAGAGGGAAGTGAGTTTTCTCAGTGTTGCCTGAGTGTTTCTGTGCTGAGGATGTGAAAGAAAAACAAACACATATGAGGGACGTGGGTATGGATTCTTACTAATTGATAAAAACCACTCAGAATGCAGGCCAACACAATTTGCAGGTGACAGTTGCCAAAAGGCTGGGACAAACACTCCCCAGGATGTGAGTATATTAATAGGAATTTGATGTTACAAGGGCTATTTTGATGTTACTTTGTATTTATTCTCTGTATGTTTGCCTGAAATTTCCTCCGTGAAGTTGTTGCAACCCCTGACTAACCCATCCTCTTTAGAACTTCAGTGTAAATAATCAGAAGTACATTTGCTTCCCAGGCTGAAGTTCTGTTTACTTTGCAACTTTCAAAGGGTAAAATGTCCTTTTCTGTATATTTTGATTGGAAGCCCAGAATTCATATTGGTATCTCGGCCTTCCCGACCTGTGGCCGAGAGAGCTGTCACTTTTGCAGACAATTCTCTCTGTGATATGTGTGTCTGCGTCTGAAATCTCTCCAGAAAAGCCTCCCCAGGCCACATACAGTTGAAAAAAAACCCAGGCCTGCAACAAAAGTTAATGAAAGGTGACACGTGTTAAATAAGAATATGAGATAAGCCCACAAAAGAGTAGCTAGAGGAGGAGATGTCCTCCTCACACCAAGCCACATAAAGGCTGCAGGCCCCCTCAAGGGAAGTTTGAATGCTCTGCTTCTGCTCCCAGTAGAACCCTTTCTGGCTAGCCTGTTGCTGAGGTTCCTGTGTTTTTGATGCAGGGGTTGGAAGTGGGGCAGGAAAAATGCAGACAACTTAGGCATGGCTTGAAGTCCCTGGGTAGTACAAATGGTTAAATTACTTAGCTGCGAACTGAAAGGTTGGGGGTTACAGTCCACCAGCAAGAGCCTTGGAAGAAAGGCCAGAAGATCTACTTCCCAAAAAACCAGCCATTGCAAACCCTATGGAGCACAGTTCTACTGTGATACACATGGGGTCCCATTGAGTTGAGGTCAAGGCTTAGCAGAGGGTAGGGAAAATGGGGGCCCCTCAGTGCTAGGTGACTCTCCCTTTCTTGATGGGGAATGTAGGAATCCAATGTTGGCTTTAGGCTAAATACAGCACATAGACAGGCCTTTAAGGGAAAAGGCAAGTAGATCTCTGTTTTCTGTCTTTTCCTAAAGCAAGGACTGTATCTGAGGCCAACAGAGATTCTGACTCCCTTACCCCAAGCACCTTCTCACTAGACATCAAATAGGAATGTCTGGCCGGTCTTCAGAGAGACCCCTGAGACACTTCCAGCTCTGCCCAGTAATAATTGTCATTTATGGGAATGAAATAGCACTTACAAGTAATTAACAGGGAACACAATAATAATTTCTGTCATTAACTGTGCTATGATTTTTACTTGATCTCAGCTTTAAACTCTGTTAATTTTTTTTTTTTGAATTGTCATAATTTGATGTATATAAAAGAGCTCTGGTGGCATAATGCCTAAGACATTTGACTGCTAACCAGAAGGTTGGCAGTTCAACCTACCAGCCACTTTGTGGAAGGAAAGCTGGGCAATCTACTTCCCTGAAGATTTAGGAGCTCTGGTAGTGTAATGCTTAAGGCATTTGACTGCTAACCAGAAGGCTGGCAGTTCAAACCCACCAGCCACTCCTCAGAAGGAAGATTGGGCAATCTACTTCAGTAGTGATACCGCCTCAGAAACCCAAGGAAGGGTCACTATGAGTCAGATCCGACTTGATCTACTCTTTTGTGGGCTTATCTCATATTCTTATTTAACACGTGTCACCTTTCATTAACTTTTGTGAGTTTGAGGTTTTTGTTTTTTGTGGTTTTTTTTTTTTTTTTTTTTGCTTTATCATGAACTGTGTTGTGATTTTTACTTGATCTCAGCTTTTTTAAAATTTTTAAAAAATTTTTTTGAATTTTTATAATTTGATGTACATACATTATTTTTGCCCATAACTTAATAAAATGCATGAAACTTTGCTGTGAAGATATATAGCAGGCATTTGAAAGAACAAGATCACTTCAGTAAAGCACTAGAAGAAAACTACTTTGAAACCTAACCCAACATGGGTTCCTGCCCTTTGTGCACAGAAATCCAATAACCGGACACCAATCTTTGAGAAAGAGAAAGTAGCTTTATTTTCAAGCACAGGGTGAAGAGTTAGGAGGGCAGTTCCTGAGATCTTACGCCCTGAAGTGAGTGTGGGTTATAGCTTTATGAGGTTTGGAGTAGGGGGATGTTATACATATTTATTTAAATTCTGTGAACTCTGCATATTAATTTCAGGTTGTCCCTGCTGCACACACATCATGTGATCCATGTTCAGAAAATGGCAGTTGTAGCATGATCAGTGGGGGAATTTTGTTCTGTTTTTTTTAATTTGTGCTGTGATTTGGCTAAAAGTCTACAGATCCCATACAGCAGTTCATACATGTTTTGTCTCATGACATCGACTGCAATTTCCCACAAT